TTATTTAATCTTGCATCAGAACAAGCGCAGACATTTACATTTACATTTATTCACTTAGCAAACGCTTACATCCAAAGTAAAGTGCATTTAGTGGGCAAAGAGGCACAAGGGCAAGCTGTGTACAGGGCGTCGTTCGAACAAAAACTGAAAGCCACACATCAAAGCAATCTAGTTTAACGGCCAGTGCGGTCTGACACGTATAAACAACATCTGCAACACGCGTGGACGAACAGAATTGGTCTGTGTTATGAAATTATTTTGGGGTTTTAATTATTTTAACAGCTTTGTATCGCCCTTACGTATAATTTAAACGTTCTCTGCTAACTAAATATACCACGTAGCAACTCGTCGGCAACTTGACCCGTCAAGAGATTCTGTAGTGACTACTACTAGTTTCGAAAATTGTGACATGTCTCACGAAGTAGGACGCGCATCACTACACAAACGCTAGAGACTGAAGCCGTCGTGGTTCTATGGAAGTTCATCGCAGTAACGAACACTACGTCAGATTCGAGTCGCCTTACCTCTCGTCTCTCAATTGTCGGGGTAACGACATAGTGAATCCCAGCGACTTAAGACAAGTACCGAAAAGCAGCGTTCACAGCGCGGTACCTGGAGCGGGCATGTACTCAGATTCTCTAAATTCTGAGAGCCAGAATGGGGCGGTTACAAAGGCGTACCTAGCTAGCAAAATTGAGGAAGCGAAGGTCATCGTTATAAAATAGCTTTTGCGGTTAAAGTAGCTCTTGAATTTTAGATCTTTTTGTACTTTAAGCTTGTCAGGAACAATAATTTGTAAAACCTGTGGGAAAAACACGCTCTCACAATGTCTAGGCTAATGTATATTCATACTGAAACTGAGATGGAGTACACTGGGCCACTGTACATTGTGGGTAGACATTATTGAACACATTTTGATAATGTCAGTAATATGGGAACATAACCGAATCTGTTAATTATTTTAATATAACACACATGTATTTTAGTTAAGCCTGCACTTAATTGCAACTGGGCTTTTAGCCTCGCATCACAATCACCTTAACAGAGCGAAAAACGAAGGCCAAAGTACACACCTCAGTGGGAGTCCAAAGTGTACGCACGCACACATACACGCCCTGTCACGACAGATCTGCAATCTTTAAATGTTTCCTCAGTTTGTTTTCTGTTCCTGAGATCCTGACAACTAATAATGGGTTAGAATGGTAAATGTGTTACGCTTGACTCAATGAGCGTATTATCAGCAAAAGTGCAATGCAAACAAAAAGCAATCAACCTCCTCCGCAATGTCACCAACATTGTGTTTGATTTGTTTATTCCTTCAGCCGCAAACTATCATTGTACAATGATGCATAATACTGTTTCCATCGCATTTAGCCAAATACCGTTTAGGATGTAAATTCACAATACAAAAGCAATTTACTTAGCTTCACACTCAGTGCAGTTTTACACATATAAATACAAAACACCTGCAGCCCGTGTGGATGAACACAATTTGTCTGAGTCGCAAAATTATTTGGGGGATGTAATTATCTCAGTATGCACGGTGCTGTTACGTACAGTTGAAAAATTTCCTGTTCAGGTGAAACTGCTGATTCATGTAACCGTAGTGAAATTTAGAATGCGGGCCAATTTCGCAACTATATTTTAAACTATAATCCTTAAGTATATGACAAGGATACCACCAGCATCTCATCTTAAGCATAATTTTAATTTGTAGGCCTAATTGTTACTGAAATGAGGACAGGTCTGTTCGGAGCACAGTGGGACCGTGCCACCACAAGATGGCGCCACATTATCTTGCCGAGGCCTTCCAGATGATGGTCATTTGTTCAGAGTCGGCAATCCCACCTAAATGATACAACATGAGAACATCGCCACAGTGATCTGATTGAGCATAGTGAGAAGTGCCTACTGAGTCAAGCTGAAACAGTCTAAAAGAGACCTTTGCTCCACAAAGAAACACAGAACCGCTGAAGACAGACGTTCATATGAACATGACTCACGCAGACACACCCATGGGCACATTCTAACCCAGGGTCACGCCTAAGGCGTTAACACATGTCTGTGCATTCAAATTTCTGTGTTGCTGAATGTGACCACTACTGTATGCGATAAAGAGTGTAAATGTCATTATCACGATTCAAGGTCAGGGAAAGTAATATACCTAAACCTATCTGCCCTAGAAAACCAAAAGCAACCAATACTTATGTTTATAGCGATGACACTGGATGCCTGAAGCTACAGTTATAAGTTGGATTTAATGCTAACTTGCTGTGCTTTTTTTCAAGGTGAAAAGACTTTAGACATCTGCACCACATTTGCTATATCCACAATGGGTGCAACTCTACCCTAATCTCAGGGTCATTAATGGGGGATACCCCAGAGGACCGCTCTCTCTCTTTCTTTCTGTCTGTCTGTCTGTCGCTCTCTCTCTCTCTCACACATACACACACTTGCGCGCATAAGCATGCACATGTCCCAGCTGTAAACCATATCTTTCTACCACTCTATCTCTCTCCAAAGCACCTGTCACTGGGCGTAATGCCTTCAGCTGATCAGCTCATCACTGATACTGCCTGGATTATCAAATCACTGCCCAGGTTGGCTTGTGTCTGTCGCTCAGCCTCACTCTGTGCATCCCTGTCTTGCCCTTGGACAGCCCTTTACATTCTGCAGTCAGCCATCTTTCGCCGTGTGTCATACTTTATTGGACAGATGTCAATTGAGTGGAGTGTCTCTTTCCATTTCTATTTCTGTCGGTCCAATTCGCTTTTTTTACCCTTCTCCTTGGTCTCTACTGTATCTCACCTTCTCCCTCAGTGTGTCTCCACCAGAAAGTGCTGAGATAGAGAAATATAATAAGTTCAGGGAAAGCACCGTATCGCAAACGCTCACTTGTCTCCGAGGATACGGGAGTCTTGCATTACTAGCAGTTACCACTGGGTGGCGAGAGACGGGATCGGTTACGTGCGCTGAATGGAAACGTATTGAATGGATTCTTGCGTCTGGCACTTGACATGGATCTGTGCATCTCGCCGCGGTGCTTTTCATGTACGTTTCCCTGTGGGTCACTGTGTGTTTCTATATGCATCCGGACGCCTCTGGACGAGCCTAAATATAAACCTTCTCCACCCTGAGGAGAAACTTGAGACAGACTGTGAGGAAGGGGAGAAGGTGAGGAAAGGGCAGAGACAGAGTGGAAAGGAAAGTGTGGAGGAAAAGGACGGAGTGTTGAGAACAGGACTGTATTTTACCTGATGTGCCTCTAGATATGGTCAACACCATGCATATATTTCAGCTTTGGTGAGCTTAAAGCCTTCTGCCTGCTCTTTCAGTTTATATCCCCTCTCTTCCAGCACTGTAAATATTTCCACAAACACCAAAGCTGAATTAATTCAAAAGTGTTGAAATTTATGCGGCATATAACTAATCATAGTTTTAAACAAGAATCTTTTAAACAAGAAAGTAAGGCTCCACTTTTTTTTTTTTTTTTTTGCTTACTTGACTGAAATGCATTGAAGAAAAGTGAGGCATGCCCCTTGCTGATTTCTTTTGCAGATTGATCAGTTACATGCACACCATTGCCGGTGAAGTTAAATCTTACAACAGTAACTTCTTATGGTGAATTTATTATTCTGAAATGCACACTCACAAATTGGAGATGATCAGCGTTTCAGCCTCAAACAAGATGGCCCCTTATTAAATCTGAAAGGTGCAGGCTTGGTTCAGACCGCAGAGTGCACATTAACACCTTAGTCTAAACCATATGCAAACACAGACGTGGTGCCTGTCCACAGATGTGTAACATGACCCCCCTGCTGAGTGCTATGGCTGAATGTATGTGATTTAATTGCTGAGCAGGAATGTCTGAAATGCATATGTGATGACAAGGAGGAGCATACAGTAACTTCCTGTACATGTATAGAATGACATCATATGTTTTTTTTTGTGGCAGTAAGTTTATTTAGTTATTTTCCTGTAGGGAGTATACCCCTGTCTGAAACCCCTTTCAGATGAGGGAAATACAGACTGCACTCTGTTTTGCACTCCAAAATGTTTTTCTTGTTCTTGTTTTGCTTTCTTTGCACTTGGAACTAAAAAAAAGGTGGAGACCGAGGTTTTATTTGGATCAAAAAACATTTTGGAGCAGTCTAATATATATTAAAACATATTTCAGGAGGACAAATTACTTACCTCGTTTTTATTCTTTTAACTGTGCACATGCATAAGCCACTCTGCATTAGCCCTCAGAAAGTCAGAAGCACAGTACTCAGCCAATGCTGACACATAACCATTTACAAACGCCCACGATGCTCAACGGCTGTGTGGAATCCATTGAAGCCTGTGTCACAAGTCTCTCCCTAAAACCACTAGCACTGCAGTTAGCAGAATACATTTTTAATATAATCGCCTGTTACTGTAATAAGGAATAATGTATAACATAGCCACAGTTATGCCCAGCGTGCCACCACTACCTGTTCAAAGCAGATTAAGGCTATTTGGATAAATAGTTTCAAAGGGTAACTGTGACGGAGTGCCGTCACTACGGTTGAGTATGTGCTCTGACTGCCATACCAACGAGCTTGGCTCTTTGGTGTCGTGGTCAAAGTCACATGTTTGGTACCCTGTAGACCCGGGTTCGAGGCCGGGTAGGGTGACTGCTCTTGCCCTTCGCTACAAATGGTGTCAGAGTGGGATGGCTGGTTGCGAGGCCATCGGAGGCGTGCCCGGTGTGTTAGCCGTATGAGGGACCCCCAGGTTAGGTTGACCCCGGTGTAAGGGACCCCAGAGATGGGTGAAGCACAGTGTGAGGAACCCCAGAGATGGGTGAAGCACGAGTGAGTGGGGCACCCTGGGATGGGAGAAGTATGGCAGGGGAATGCGTGAGGGACACCATGGCGCATAAAGCGCATGGGCGTGCTTCCCAAAGGGGAGGGCAGTGTGACGGAGTGCTGTCACTACAGTTGAGTATGCACTCTGACTGCCATACCAATGAGCCTGGCTCTTTGGCGTTGTGGTCAAAGTCGCATGTTTGGTACCCTGTAGACCCTGGTTCGAGGCCGGGTGGGGTGACTGCTCTCGCCCTTCACTACAGTAACATAAAAAATTCAGAAGTGGTCATATACCATACAATGGCAATTATAATGAATATTTAATACATCCAATTCATTTTTTCTGAAGAAAAAGATATCTGCATTTATAATATTACATATACAGGACAGTAGTGGGATGTAGGGGTGAGAGTAGAGGCTGGTGTTGCACCCACTCAACTGCTTAAAGGGATGAAGCTGAATGCTGAATGTGAGCTGCTTCCAGGATACGGGAGTCCTGCTAATCACATAAATCATATAATTGAAAGATAGGATTACAAGAATAACAGTGCATTAGTTACATTTGGAGTTACCCTTCGTGACTGGTAAACTGTCATCTGGCCCCCCAAAAGCATCAGATTGGTAATCTGTGATTATGGTCTTGGGGCTAAGTTTAGATTCGATTCCGGCCATAGTATCAATTTGCAGATTATTTTTTCTTCCAAACAAGTCAGAAGTATCTGGGGCTGCGTGAAAACCTGCCATCAACACTGAACTTGAAGTGCGCTGTTTGCGGGCGGGTCAAGGTTTTGATTTAGGGCGGACCCTTCCCCTCCGATCATGGCTCAGGCATTCCCTGGCACGGGTTCCCCCCTCTCGTCCCCCACCCTCCAAGAGTTCTGCAAGTGACACCAGGAACGCAGCGCAGTGAATTTGGCGCCGAGCCTCGGCCGCCGTCGGTGAGGGGGAAAGGCTGATAAATTTAGTATGGGGATGAAAAGCAGAGGAGTAAAGAAGGAGAGAGAGACAGAGACGGCCATAAAAGGAGGCCTCTCACCCCTTCTGATAGATGAGAACAAGAAAATAGGAGGAAGAGAAAGACAGCGAGAGAGACTGCAGGTGGAGATGGGGGTGTTGCTAGGAGGAAGTATGTCTGACAGGTCCTGATAGAGGCATAGATGGATGCAGAGAGGGAATAGGTATTGTAATAAAACAGTAACCTACAGGCCTAAAATGCTCAATCCACTTCTGTCAAAAATGTATCGTTCTTTTTGTATCGACTTCCATCAGGTTAGGAAGTCCCAAATGGCCTTACTGAAAATAGAGACCCTAATTGGCAGTTCCTCTCTAATCGCTTTGTACACCTGTGTCGACATTTTAAAGTCAACTATATTAAGGTTGCAAACTGAATATCACCATAACTTTAAGATGATAATTAATATCCTTAACCCTCATCTAAATAATGAAAGATCAGTGCAAAGAGACAAAGTTAAAAAGAGACACAATGATAGAGGTAAATACTTCCATTAAATGATGTTCATTTAGATTGCATTACATTCATTTCTCTCACTTCCATTGAGTGGAGTGGGAGTATAAGGCAGGACAGGGGGGATGGACAGTAGGATGGGAGAACAGAAGGGAGACATCATCTATTTATGATGCAATGTCCACTTTAGTTTTATGGCAGTTATTTTTTTAAAGCCTTGAAATATGTAATACATTTATTGGTTGAAGACTTGGAACGTGAATGCAGGGGTGTCTAATCTTATCCCCAGTTTGAATTCCTCTTTTGAAAACCACTCCAAGCTCACAACACCCTGCGGCTTCTCCAGTCTTTCATTCACATTTGTCTCTGCTCCATGTGTACCTCTGGCTCCATGGCGATGCAACTTCGCCTGCTCCGGGGACACGGTTCTCTCTAGTGGGACTGTAGAAAAGTGGACTCTGATCATGCGAACAACCGATGGGATGCGGGCTACATGTTTCCACCGCCGGTGTGTGTCGGGGGGATGAACAAGCTTGCGTCACCATGGGACAGCATGCGCAGACGACTTCTATATTAACTCACAACCATTGAAAGGTTGGCTGTCCTCTAAATAGCTCTTGAATTGTGAATTTCTCTGAAGGGAGAGCACTTGGTTTTTTGTGTCAGTCAGCATCACTCTTCACCTGGTGATGGAAGATGCTCTGTATGAATAGATAACACTCTATGAGAGTGTTGTCTGGGGGGGGAGTTGAACCAGGTTGACTTTGGCAATCAGAGATTAAGTACATCTTCTCTTCCTGCAGGCACTTAGGCCACATGTGTTGAGAAACCAGCTTGGTGAGTTTGGTGTCCCATCAGTATGGGCAAATGTAGCCACAGAAACATTTCTTTACTGACCACAGCAGCTGACTCTAAACCTAAAGGGAACGCTTCTACACAGCAGGTGACCCCCATATATAAGGAACATTCAGCGCTATACATGTGTTTGTGTACATGTGCATAGTAGGTGTGAGAATGTGTGTGTGTGTCTGTGTATGTGTCTGTGAGTGTGTGTGTGTGTGTGTGTGTGTGTGTGTGTGTGTGTGTGTGTGTGCGCATGCGCGCGCAGGTGTGAGTGTGTGTGCATGCACGCAAGTGTGTGCACATGTGTGCTTGTGTGTGTGTGTGTGTGTTTATGGGTTTTGTGTGTGTGTATGCTCATGTATGTGCATGTGCGTGTGAGTCTGGGTATGTGTGCATTAGTGTATGTATTTGTGTGTGTATGTGCATGCGTGTGTGTGTGTGTGTGTATGCATGCAGATGTGCGCGCATGTGTGTGAATGCGTGTTTGTGTGTATGCCTACAGGTGTGTGTGAATATATGTTTATGTGTGTGAGTGTGCGTGCACGTGTGCCAGGGTTTGTGCCTCAGTGTCCTTGTGTGTGCGTGAGTGAGCGTATGAGTCAGTGCAGCAGCGGACACAGGGGCTCCAGTAACTTTAAAGAAAGTATATCCTCATTCTGTACGCGTGTAAGCACCCCGTGCCAAGTGCTCAGTGTTGATACAGAGACGGGGGGGGAATACAGGGAGTGAGAGGGGAGTCTGAGGACAGAGCCTGCCAAGATGAAAGGGAGATTGAGAAGGACGGGGGGGGAGAGACAGAGAATTAGATAAGGAATGGATAGGCGCGTGGGGGGGTGAGAGAGGGAAAGAGAGAGAGAGATGGAAAGACAGATGGACAGCACAGGCGAATGTGAGGGGCGTGATTATTAATAGTAGCGCTTGATTAGTTAGTGCAGACGAGAAAGTGATATGGCTTCTGGGCCACATAGCATCTTGGTGCTGTGAACTGGGTTCCCATTTTTTGTCCTAAAATAGAGTCCAGTGGAGGGCTATAAAAGAGTAATAGTGACCGCGCTCCCCCTCACCTCTGCCTCCGCCAGCTACCTGCACTCCCTCACCAGCGTATCCCTCACCACCGCACAGGTAAGGGCACGGACAGGTGGGATCAAAGAAAAAATTTTAAGGAAAAAACAGGTGCTTCTGTCAGAATGGGACGGGGGGGGTGGCAAAACAATATGAAGGCATTATGTGGTGATGTGCACTGAAAGGTAGCAGATAGTGCTGGAAGTTGTCAGGTTGACTGAAGCCATGAAGGGGATTGTACAGTAGGGGTTTTGAATAGGTGATGAATGGTGAAGCACATCTGTGGAGCATAGCAGTGATTCAGGGGGACAGGTGTTTTTTAGGGTTTCACCTGCTGGAAATAAGGTCATGAATCAGAAATTAATTTCAATGAAAAACAAGGTAAATTGGATGGACATTGCTGATGGTACCTTATTTGAAGTTACAGTGAACTTGAAATATTGGAGTCTTTTTTGGAAGCTCGATGATTTTTAGCTGCCTCATTTATTTTTAATGTCAGGATGTTTTGTCTTTTGTTGTCAACTACCTTTTTGACAAGCACTGTATGGCAGAGAAGTGAAGAATACAACAGACTTTTATGCAACATTACAATTTGCATTTTCATAACATTGCAAAAAAAGTAGGTAATTCTCAATTACTGAGTACTTGAGGCCAGAGTACTTGGCTATTTCACCACTAACTGTGGAGTAGTATGATGTGAGCCATGAGATTATCTTGGACGGTGGATGATGCCTCTGAATTTAAGAGCGATAACTCTTAAGTTGACATTGATGAATGTTTTCCTGTGAAATATACACTTTCCATCACATGTGTTAGGCAGAGTTAAGTCTGCAGTTAACTATGCAGTTAAGCCTAATGCAGTCAATGGTGAATGTTCCGGAAGAGGATGATCAAGGTACACCTATCCAACATGACAATTTCATTCATGCTTTGTTATTGAAAACCTCTTCTTTCTGAGCATGTGTCCTTCGTCTTGGCTTTAGATGAACAGTGCTGTTGCTCTACAAGTAAATTCTTTCCTGTTGGGCAATTTATTCTCAGGCCACAAACACAGGTACTGAAATGCAATATAACATGACATATGAAGCCAGATGATATCATGCCAACATTAATTCTGAAACAATTGCAAAAACTTGATTCAAACGATGAAATAATATAAAGGCAAAAGAAAGAATTAACACTGTAGTACATTAAACACTGTGCTGTAGCATGCAGCAAATTGGCATATTTGAGGTGGTTTCATGTTACAGTGCATAGTTTCCAGTAATTTATAGCCCCGCATATTACATGTCATCACTGCCACCCGATACCATATGAAACACATCATTAAATTTGCTTAGCTAGCTGCTGTGTAGAAATTTCCATATGAAAAGACTGAATCGAAGCCAATTGTTTGCTGTACCACATGATTCAAAAGATGTTCAGCTCTACTCTATTATCCAATGAATAAAATCATAGTAGTGAACTTTCAGAAAAGCGGTGTTTTAAGAGTGTGTCACAAAATTCACTGGATATGTTCATTCTACAAACAGATTTTTGACTCCTTAAATTTTTTTCTGTGAAGTAATTATTTTCTGTATTTCAAACTCAAATCCTCTCACCTGTGATACTGAATATCTCCTTAAGTGACAATCCAAGAGACCTTGAGGGCGTAACCTCTGAGAGACATATATCACGTAAATTACCATACTCACAGTGATTCTTTAGCTGCACACCCACTTTGATACGTGGTAAAGTTTTGAGTAAAGTCTTTCCAGCTATTATTCAGAATACCTATTGCTCATTGTAATTGTCCTCTTTGATACCCTATTACCACTTCCTAGTGTTTAAATAACTAGCTGGTAAAAGGTGTATTTAATCATAATAAAATG